GCCAGTCCCTAGGTCTTCCTGCCCCCGGGAGCCCAGGCCTCACTCTGCGGCTTGTCCCCCGGGCAGGGAGCTGCCTGTGCTGAGGCTGGGCCACCACAACCGAAGAACCCGTGTGAACCACGTGTCCTGCAGCCCCAGCCCAGCCGCGCCTCTTGAGCTCAGCGCAGGAAGGAAGGCCGCTCCTGCCCTCTGGGGAGCACGCGCCTGGCCCTGAGGGCCCCAGAACGCCTACTTGAGCTCCTGGGCAATGGCGGCGATCTGCTCCACGCGGTCCTGGTGCGCGGCCAGGTCACTCTCGAAGGCCTCGTGCTTCCGCAGCAGGGCCCGCACCTCCGTCAGCGAGGCCGACTCATAGTCCTTCTGCAGCAAGATCTGCTCTTTGCCTGCACAGGTGGGAGAGAGGGGGCACGAGGCGCTGCTGGCACACACGGCTTCTGCGTACCAGCCGCCTGCTAGGGAGCTGGGGGGCCAAGGCACCACGTGGGGGTGCAGGACACAGGCCAAGCGCGGGTGGGCCTGGGTCCAGGTGAACCTGCAGACGGCCCCGGGGCTGGGAGCTCACACCTACGGCCCAGGGGGAGGTGTGCTGAGTGCAGGGGCCTCTCCATCATGCTAGCAGCCAGGTCTGCTTTTCCAGCCAGGTGCCCAGCCCAGTCAGTGACCACCGGCTCCAAGGCCCCAGTCGGCCAGCTAGAGCACCGAGCCTGTGCCAGGCACAGGCTCCCTGCCCAGCTCTTTGTCTGAAAGGCCCTTCTGTGGTTAAATACAACATGTTTGCTTTGCCTGATAATAAATATTAGAGATTTTTCCTCTCTGAGCCACCACTGTTTCCTCATAAATATTTCTTAAATCTGGCAAGTGCTATGACCACATCCACATGGATCCCCTGGCTAACTACCCTAAGAATTTAATTCTACAGGGGCCAGCAGGTGGCATGGAGGCTACAGCGCTAGACTCGCACATGGCCGACCATGATTCAAGTCCAGAACCTGGTGCCTGGTGGCTTGCTTTCTAACTTTCTCTCTCTCTCTCTCTCTCTCTCTCTCTCTCTCTGGCCAATTTTTAAAACTGTAATAATTGTGGCCAGAAGGTGGCACAGTGGTTAAGGTGCTGGACTCCCACATAGCCAGTCACGGTTCGAGTCCAGACCCAGAGGCTTGAAATTTATGTCACATGCATGTTTGAGTGTGCCCGAAATCACGAGAGGAGAATGGAAGAGAGGGGACTGCAGCATGACCATCCCACCTAGGGGGTGATTTCTCACTTTCTGTCTGTCTGTCTCTGTTTCCGGCAAGCACATGTGCCCTGTAGCAAAAAATCTCTAAAAAAAATAAAAATAATTAAAAACCTAAACAAATAATCATTTAAAAGGAAAATAAAAGTTTAAAGAATTTAATTCTACAAAGCTGGAAATGAGAAGCTGCTGGAACCATGCAGTTAACACAAGCTGAGTGTGAAAGATCTGCCCCTCAGGCCTAGAGCAAGGACCCGGCTGAGGAGAACTGTTTGCAAGGTCAACAGTTTTTCGGGTTCTGGACCTCACCTTCACTGTGTTACTGTACTGGCCTGCACTCAATTTCTCTGCCATGGGCCTTATTGCCATACCCCGGTACCCCATAAAGGCACCCCCAGCCTTACTATAATTTTACAATAATCCTAAAAGAATGCGGATCCACTAAGGTGGCAGCTGCGTAGGGCGGAGGCTGCAAACAGGAGTTACTCCCATTAGACTCACCCCACCCTATTGGAAAATGTCAATGAAGAATGCTACATTCACTTCTCCTACTGTGGATTACTAATGGGTGAAGGATCTCAGTAGCAGGGAAGGGCTCAGGGACTCATCCACGAGGTGCTGTTACCCCAAAGACTATAAGCCACCCTTACTGTCAGGACAAGGGAAGATTGCCGCTCCCCAAGCCACAGTCATTGTATAGAGCAGCATGTAGAGGGTCCCAAGTACACAGTAACCTCTAGGTCAGTCATTAAGCTGCTCACAAGACCACATTCCTTTCCTATATAGACTCACCCTCTTAGCTGTAGACTACCCCAAAGATAACATAGGTATTTCACTTTAGTATATACTAACCTTGTCTTTACTAAACCAGACAGGATTTATTTCTAGGCTCTTGTAATTACTGCCACCCTAGCCTGAAGCTGAAGTTCTCAAAAGCTGACCTGGGGCTCAGGTTCTCAAGCCAATCTGGGACTAAAGTAATCAAGCTGGTCTGGGACTGAAAATTCCTGGAAAACCTCTCATCCAAACACCTTCCCTGGTAATCAAGATCAAAGAAGCACCCCCCAAAAATGGACTTCCTCATTCTAAATATTATGACTGTTTATACCTAAACAAAGCAGACGTCATGTTTTATGATTCTTGTTCCTATACTTTGAATGCCTTACCTTTTGGAGTAAAATCCTTCACCTATTTCCCCTCGCCCATCCTACCCCTGTAAAACTCCTTCTATAATAAATACGCATGACTTCTGGCCATCAGGGCTGCAGTCCGGAGTTTACTCTGGCTGTAGTCGGCTGAGAACATGCTAAAGGGCATGAGGTCTTAGTCTGATTCCTGTTCACCCGCGTCGCCTTCCTATGCACCCACCCCGGCTGGGGTACGGCTTCCGGCAAGAAGCAAACGTGCATATACTTAATGACAACCCTGACTGCCATGTGCCAGGTACAGCTCTGCACTTCATAACGCGAGCTCCACAGCTGCACAGAATGCCCTCGGGGAGGCAGGCCCCCTCTCAGGGGCCTCCAGGGTGCTCCACTGCCAGCTGTCCCAGTGGGGACTCCTGGCAGCTGGTCACCTGGTGGTTAAGTGGCTGGATCCCACATGGCTGCCTGCGTGGTTCAAGACCCAATATGGCAACTTGAGAAACACATCAGGCGCATGTACATGTGCCCAAAATCCCAAAAGGAGAACTGGAGAAGGGACTGTGGTGTGACTACTCCCCCTGGGAGGTGCTCTCTCACCCATCTTCTCTCCAGAGAGCAAACAGCCATCTTGAGAAATGTTTAAAAATAAAAATATAAAATTTTAAAAAAGCAAAAGGGAACCAAAGAGCAAGGGGCGTCTCCCTGACCGCTCTTGGGTAGATTATGGGAAGCATGTCTGGTTCTCCTGTTTAGTCCAGCAGGAAGCCAGAAGATACATCCCGCCCAGGCTGTGGACACGGAACGTCTGCGAGGCCAAGGCAGCAGTGGACGGAGAGGAGCGGGAGCCGAGCTCCAGGAAATGGCACCTGCACTCCCTCTTCCCAGGCAGACTCCGAGGCAGAAGTGAAGCCTCTACGGTACCGAATCCACATTCTCGGGCAGAGGTGAGCTGCAGGCCCAGGGCTGTCTGAGCCACAGAGGGTTGTGGACGGACCCCTGGGGAACGAGCAGGGGCAGGAGGCGGTGGGCCTGGCGGCGGGCACGCATGTAGTGCACCGGAGGCAGGAGGCAGGGGCCTGGCAGCGGGCACGCATGTAGCGCACCTGGTAAAGCCGTGCTTGGCCTGCTCCGAGAACCCCGTTGTCACGCTCTTGCCTTCAGGCCAGTCAGCCCTGAGTTGAGAGAGGAAGGAGGAGCCTGCTCACAGCGTCATGGCCAGGGGCACAGGACCAGCCTGCAGCCCCGTGGCTCCCCGAGCCCAGCCGAGCCATGCACGCACCGTAGGCCCAGGCCTCATGGGTGGTAGCCTTCTGCCGGAACTTCTCGGCCAGGTGCTCCAGCCGCTCCAGCCTCCGGATCTCATTGAGCAGCCACTCCTCGTAGCCCTTCTCGGCCTGCTCCAGCCTCTGCCAGGCGCCGGCGATGTCCTGGGAGGGTCGGGGACAAGCAGAGGTGTGCTCAGCCCCTGGTGGCCTGCTCCGCCTACACCTGCCCTGTGCACAGAACCTTCCTCCTGCCACCTCCTCCTGCCACCACCACCCCCCGCGTGACTGCAACTGCCATGGCTTCAGACGTCCTGAATATCAGCAAGACTTTCCAAATTAGTACAGGGGTTTGGGGTGAGGGTCAGCGAGTTCCTGGAAAACTGGATTAAAGTTGATTTTGGTGCAAAGAAGCCAAAGCACAGTTTCTCAGGGTGCATTTTCCAGGGACTTCCTGAAGACCCCGCGGCAAGCCGTTCTCGTTAGGCAGCCTGACCTCTGTGGAGAGGTGCAGGGCTTCTCTGGCTACGACTCAGCCAGCCTTGAGCAGGGCCGCCCACAGCAGGTACGGGCACGTAACACGAACCAGTCCCTGGCCAGGAGCTTTGTGAGAGGGAGCACCTCCGCGCCTCCCCGGGGAGCTTTCACAGCTGTCGGGGAGCGACCTCGGTGAGTAACTGAACTACCAGGTACACCGCCATGGCGACAGGGCCAGGAGGTACCGAGAGCCTAGGGCGAGGGATTCCCCTCAGGCAGGTTACGTAGACCCCCGCCCCCGGGGTGGGAGTCTTGAGCTGAGGCCTCGATGGCAGAAACAGCCAGTCACATTCAGACAGGGACCAGGGCTCTGGGTGACTGCGAGCTCCAGGTGACCGAGGGCTCTGGGTGACGGGGGGCTCTGGGCCAGGAACTATTCAAAGGCACAGGAGCACTGCAGGGTGGCCGGCCGGAGCAGCAGAGCCGGGTGAGCAGGGGAGCCTGGAAAGGGACCATCAGTGAGGCTCAGGTCATCCGACCTACAGGCCAGGATGATGAACCTGGATTTTACTCAGCACTGTGGGAGGTCGCTGGAGGGTTCTGAGAAGGAAAATGATCTGCATTTTTTAAAGATGATGGAGGGAGCTATGTGGGGGACAGCTGCCAATCTGGGGTCACCTGCAGGTCTGAGGAGAGGTGACAGCAGCAGGGTCGGAGGAAGGACCCCAACTGACGACGGCATCTGGAAGGAGATTGGGCCTGGCTGGGACCGCGACCCGAGGGAGGGGCAGGAGGTTCTAGGATGACACTCGCAGCAGGACAGAGACCGGGGGACGGCGCTTCTGGATGCTTTAGACTTGAGTGCTTTTGTGACATCCAGGTGGACAGATGCACCTGGGCCTCAGAGCGAAGTCGGGGGTGGGGGGGACTCTGCAGGCCCCAGCGGGTGGGGGTCAGCGCCTGGTCTGGAGGAGAGCTCCAGGTGAGGAGGCAGAGGTGGGCTCAGCACCGTCCAGACCGCCCCGTAGGGAGAGACCAGAGGGGCAGGGCCTGGGGCAGAGCAGAGGGCCTCGTGGGAGCGCGTGGTAGCACTGGAGGGCCAGGAGCCGGAGAATCCAAGGAGAGGCACCAGGGTCTGGGCCAGAGTTCCTGAGGGTGTGAGGACAAGGGACTAGACTGCCCCATGGATGCACCGGCATCGGGGGAGGGACAGAGGCCAGGAACTCAGGATACAAAGGGAAAGGATGGGGGCATGGCGGCCCGCACCACAGGGTGATCTGGGCCTCGGCAGCGAGGAGGCCGGGATCGGGACGACAGCGACGGGGCTGAGCAGGGGCGGTGGCCCAGGTTTCCGTAGGGCAGATTCCGAAGCTCACACACCAGGGTGAGGGCCCGGTGACTCAGAGGAGCAGGTGGAACCAACATGGCGGGGGGAAAACACAGGACTCAGGTGGCAAGGTGAGATGGCACGAGGCAGGCGGGGTGCCATTCGCAGCTAAGTTTAGGAAAGGCCTGCGCTCGCAGCCTCGGGCCAATCAATGGCAGGGGCAGTCGAGAACGGCAGGAGGTGGGAGAGAAGAACTCAGGCTGAGGTGGGCAAAGGCCAGGCCTGCACTCCTGCCACTGGGCGACCTGAAAAGTCAAGGCCCCCTCAGGGCAGCAGGGTGACCCCCGTCAGAGCCGTGTGAGGAAGGCGGACCTGGTCTGGCCGGCGGCCCGACGTGCCACTCACCGACACCATCTTGCCCTCGGAGGGCATGAAGGCGGGCCGGTTGCTGATGCGCAGCTTGGTCTGCAGCGTGTTGAAGTTGATCTCCAGCTGGCACTTCTCCTGCACCTTGGGGGGCTTGCTTTCATACTCTCTCACCCCACTCTTTCTGTCTCTCTCTCTGGTGAGTGCAGATTTAAAAATAGTAATAATAGATAAAATTAAATACATACTTCTTTTAAAAGGGCTTTATAAAGGTGATATGCCAATAAGAGGCCTTTTTATTTGTTTTGAAATTTATGAATGAGATTCCTGGGTGTATTATTTATAGGTGGTGGCCGCGGGCCCGAGGTGCCCCTCACCGACACCATCTTGCCCTCGGAGGGCATGAAGGCGGGCCGGTTGCTGATGCGCAGCTTGGTCTGCAGCGTGTTGAAGTTGATCTCCAGCTGGCACTTCTCCTGCACCTTGGGGGGCTTGTGCTTCCGCCGGTAGTCCCGGAAGTCCTCCAGCTTCTTCTGCATGGCCTGCATGGTCTTCTCGGGGGTCCGGTTCTCCAGCCAAGGGATCGTACGACGAATCCATTCCAAAAGCTGCTCCCAAAATACAGAAACCAGCTGAAAACACCAGCAAACTGTCCCCAGCTAGGAAGCAGAGGCACCTGGTACTGTGGAACGGACAGCCCGGTGCTCTGACAATGACCGGCTGTGGTCTCAACACCCTGGTCACAGGAGAGATCCCTCTCTGCAGGGGCAGGGGCCGCCCGCCACCACCACACACAGGCTGGGACTTAAAGTCAGCACAAAAGTCATCTTTCACAAAAATGTGACACTCACAAGAAACTCAGGGACCAGACATTAGCAGACGAATGCTGGATGGAGCTTTCAAAATAGAAAAACAAAAATTCCTGACATGGCGGGAAAGCCGTGTATGTGATAAATTTAGCGAAGAACTGGACTTCATGTAAAATGCACTGAAGTAAGCTCAAATCTAACGACTCGGACTCGCTAGACAAGTGTGTGGAACCTGGCCCTGACTCGAGGCCAGAGTTCATTCTAACTCCCAGCCGTAAGTGACCCGTAAGCCATGATTAGAAATGGACAAAGCACAAATCCCATCTCTGGAAAGACCTCCTGATCGCAGAAGGGGCCCGCTGAGAACCTCATCATTTACAGCCCTGCCCGCTGGCTGCCTGGAAAACAGCAGATGTGGATTAAGACACAGTTCGCACGGCGGCCCACCTGCAGTCCGAAGGCTTTAGGACCAAGTAGGAAAGGGCGGACACGGTACTGAGGTTTGTTGGGCCTGGCCTGGCCAGGTTCGACCCTGCAGTTAGCGCTGCACTGGGCAATGCCATCACGCCACAGTCTTCCACAGCAGCGGTTTAAAGACGGGGTCTGCAACGTCAGATCCTCCCCGTGCAACCAGATGCCAGTGTCCGCGGCAGCCCAGGGGCAGCTGTGCTGTGCGCTCTGGTGCCTGCTGCAGTCTCCAGGCCAGTCTGCCACCCTGCACAACCACACTTCCACCAGGGAGCGAGGGAGGCCGGGAGGCTGCAGAGCTGTTACTTATGCTACACTGAGGCCAGAGAGAGTAGCAAATGCAAACTGCTATTCTGAGGCGATGGCTGCCTGGCTGCGGGCACTGCAGGTTTGTGCCCACGCAGCTTGGAAGGAACCCCTGCCCTCCCCACTCAGACACAGCTGAAACGCACATGGCAGACAGCAAGCTCCTCGGCCAAGGCCTCGCTGTGGGCACCAAGGCTCTGAATACGGTGCATCATGGGTGACACCAACAGCCAACTAAGCAGGAAAAATGCGAGAAAATGTAGCCTGGGTGTGCAAGCTGGGCGCAGGGATAAGTGTGAATCACTCCCACCACCTCAGTCGTGCACTCCTCCATGCTCTGGGATGGCTGGAAAGACTGGGGGCATTACCTCAGGGGTCCTAGCTAGGCACTACAAGATGAACACGCTTGGAAACCCAGTGTGCTTCCCTTTCATTCTATCTGAGATGGGAAATGCAAAGAACACGGACGATCCATTTCACCCTCGCGCCTCACCCACGGGGCGAGTGTGGACAGGACTGGGGTCACCAGTTTCCTTTACCTCACTTGCTAGCCTCTCATATTCTTCCATCAGTCTCTCATTCTCTTGATTCACAGCAAGAACCTTACATATCCTGTTAGCTGCCGTCTCGGCCTGTAAGACACAATGGGTAAACAGAGCAGCTCTGCCGGCTGGGACGCACACACAGCTGGACGCGGCAGTACGAGAGGGGACGGTGTGACGTGCTGCAGACGGTGCGATTCCAGTCAGGGCGGGGTGAGATCGAGCATACGACTTTTAATACTATGAATTATTTCACACCTTCTGCAATTTTCACACAAACTTACATGGCAGGCTGAGTGTACTGTGGGAAAAAATGGGCAGATACCATTAGACGAAAACACAGGCTTTGTGAAACACGGAGAAAGTTAGTAACAATATACATGAGTCAAGGAAGCCAGCATCTCAGGTCCCTGAGTGTTCACCTGAACTCTCCACTATCTCGTAAGTATGGGCTGGAAAGCCCTGAATAACATCAGCCTTTGGAAGCCAAAGCTAAAATGCCCGGATCCTGAAACTGTGTGTGCGCATGTGTGTGTGTGTGTGTGTGTGTGTGAGAGAGAGAGAGATTCTACTTGAACATCCTGAAGACCTCCCTCCCTGAAATGAACACACAGGGCTTCCTACATGGGATCCTCCCACGGGCCTAGCGTGCCTTAGGAGCATGTTTAACCCGCATGAGGGGTCCTCAAGCCACCACAGGCAAGTTGTAATCCCTACCGTTGTTCGTGGGGAGAGCATTGCCAGGAGTTGCAAAGTGCTAGATCCTGTGATGGATCAGGAAGAGGAACACATGCCTGTCCATTTACAGGCCCAGAGTCTATTCCAAGCCTCACCCCCAAAGCTCTGGTCAGCCTGAAAACAGGCCAATTCCTAGTTTCCATCATTTCCTAGTGATGGGTTTTAAAAAGGACAGAGAAATAACACGTACTTTGTCCACTCCGCCTATTGGGGTTTTCCAAATAGAGACACATAGACAAGAAAAGAATCTGGTGAAAGTGGAGGACATCCTCCCATAACATCCCTTAGGCTGTCTATTCCAGGATGTGAATGTTTCTGAGGTTCTCACGCTGTCATCGCTCTCACTATGTCACGTGAAGTAAGATGAGCTCAAACGACATTAGTACACATCACTGCAGGGTGGAGGTAACCTCTAGGTAGAGGACAGGGCCTTGGAAGGCCCTCCTGACTCCGGGTCCAACTCTAGCTTTACAAGTTGTGCTCAGGTTTCATGGCACTTTTTTTCTTTCTAAAGTACTTCATGTTTTCCACAATGTACTAATTAAATTTTTTTAAATCTTTGAAGGAAAAACAAATAAAATGCTTTGGAAGCCATGTAAAGTTAAAACTCTTTTTAAAAACAGTTTTCATAGTTTAAAACATGCCATATTAGGTCATTATAACACGCTTGAGGAGGTTCCTAGGTAAGATGTGAAGCGCACACACACACACACACCCAGGTGTGTACACACACACAACTAACACCAATGCAGGGGGCGGCACGGCAGCACTGGACAAGCGTGGAATACCTGCTCCGCGCCCGCAAAAGCGTGGTAGAAGCAGGACACGTACGTCATGATGGCTCTCTCGTCGGGTTTGGGTGTGTTCACAATGTCTGAAGGGAGAAAGTAACACAGGACACACACACACACATACACACACACACAGGTGGAAAGGAGAAACCAGGTGAACAAGGGGGAAACAAAGCGGTTTATGCTGAGCAGTTTCTGGGCTTCATGGACCCAAGACTTTGACCCTGAGAAAGACTATGAATGGTACTGAAATGACCCAGGAACAGGATTTAGACAGGCATAGCCCTGGAATGACCAGACTGAGGGCGTATGGTCTTCCATAGCCCTCGATGGGTTTGAAAAGTGCACCCAACACATTAGGCTGGGAATCCACCTCTGCAGACCAGAGAACAGGGGCTTGCTTCCCGCAGAGTCTCACTGCCCTAAGAGTCTCAGTCTCACTACCCTCAGAGTATCACTTCCTTCAGATGCTCACTTCCCTCAGAGACTGATTTCCCTCAGAGTCTCACTTCCCTCAGTCTCACTTCTCTCAGATGCTCATTTCCCTCAGTCTCACTTCCTTCAGATGCTCACTTCCTTCAGTCTCATTTCCCTCGGAGGCCTACTTCCCTCAGAGTCTCACTTCCCTCAGTCTTACTTCCTACTGTGTCATTTCCCTCAAGAGGCCGACTACCTTCAGATGTCTCACTACTCTCAGATGCTCACATTCCTCAGAGCTTGCTTCCATTAGATGCTCATTTCTCCCAATCTCATTTCCCTCAGATGCTCATTTCCCTAAGGTACTCACTTCCCTCAGTCTCACTTCACTGAGGCCCACTTCCCTCAGAGTCTCAAGTCCCTCAGTCTCATTTCCCTCAGAGGCACACTTCCCTCAGTCTCACTTCCCTCTGTTTAATTTCCCTCAAGAGGGCGCCTTCCCTCAGAGTCTTACTTCCCTCAGGGATCTCACTTCCCTCAGAGTCTCACTTTTCTCAGTGTCTCTTCCCTCAGATGCTTACTTCTTCAGTCTTAATTCCCTCACATGCTCACTTCCCTCAGAGTCTCACTTCCCTCAGAGTCTCACTTTCCTCAGAGGCCCACTCAGTTCCGTCTCATTTCCCTATGTGTCATTTCCCTCAAGAGGCCCACTTGCCTCAGAGTCTCACTTCCCTCAGATGCTCACTTTTCACAGAGGCTCACTTTCCTCAAATGCTCACTTCCCTTGGAGGCTCAATTCCCTCAAATGCTCATTAGTCTCATTTCCCTCAGAGGTCACTTCCCTCAGAGGCCTATTTCCCTCATAGGCCCACTTCTCTCTGATAGCCCACTTCCCTTTCTGGCTCACTTCCTCCCATCCTTTGGCCACCTCTGCTCTGTGAAGCGCATGTTACTTTCTTTGCAAGATGCTGGGAAGGCCAGATCTCCCTAGCACCATCTGGCCCCTCCATTCTACCCTTTACTTGTTGGGGCTTCATCAGGTGAGAATGAAATTCACTGGATACAGCCTGTCTCTTAACTCCTCCTGAACATACTTACCACGCTGCTTACATAAGTCATCTGGATTGTCAGAACATCTAAAGACAAGGGTGTACACGCTTTTACTCATTAGACCCTTGCCAAAATAACCAACAGGAAGAGAGAACAGACCATGTGAGCACTCATTTCCCTCCTCCATCTCTGCACCACCATTTTTTTGGATAAATTGTTTGTTTTTAGCTTTGCTCATGAAGTCAGGTTAGGGAATAGAGAGCATTAAATTAAGACAATACCTTTATAATTCCGTATAATGAAGCCTAGTCACTAGGCTTACAGAGGCTATTAACAAAGAATTTGGTGTTGTGCAACAGTATGGAAGTTTCTGGAAAACAAACATGAATGGCACACCACTGCATAGACAGAAAGTAAATTTCATAAAAACTAGAGTTAAAAAAGACAAACAGCTACTTCCTCAGAACCAGATGGGTCTCCTTAGAGTGGGGAAAAAGAGGAAAACAACTGATAAAAATAGAAAATATTAAGACACAGAAGGTGAAGGGTCAGTGGTGACTCCCATTTCACAGCCTCACCTCTGTGCCCCAGCACACGCCTTAGAGTAACAAGAGGTGTAAGCCATTATGGCCCTTCATTGGGTCTGACCACGTGTGCCAAGTCTGGGTGGGAAGAGATGGGTAAGCAGGGCCATCCTCAGGCCAGCAGGTTCTTTGGCACCTGCCAGCGCAGTCCATCACCTATCTTCCACATACTCCCACACACACGTTAGTAAAATGTCAGCTCAAATCAAAGATGTCAGCCCTGAAAGCTCCCACTCTTTGAACTTTGACGGTTGTTACAGGAACTAAAGAAACTGCCAAAGAGAAGGGCACACCCAGCCCAGAAGAGCCCCAAACTAGCAAAGGAAGCACGTGCCTGTTGCAGCCTCAGAACCCAACAGAACCCACACGGAGGCACACTCCCAGAGACATCCCACCTCTGGGCACACCGAGGGCCTGGGTCAACAGACCCCGTATGTATGTGTACAGGGAGTGCTGCACACATAGATTGAAACCAAGTGCTCACTCCAAAAAAGTTTCTGCAGCAAAGGCGGGACATGTTTCATAGCCTATAGAAAGCAGGGCCAACAGTGGGGTGAGGAGGAAACGGCACCCTGGTTAGTGGGCCACCACCACCTGAACCCCCTGGGCCTCAGGGACCAGCACACAGGCAGACAGCAGAGTCAACGGCAGCAGGGTAGGGGTGCGGGACTGAGGGGACCTGGGCCTGCCACCACAGTGGAACAGTGGCAGGGGTGGCAAGTGGCAGTGTCACGCTCTCGGGGGACGAGCCTTGATGCAGGTGGAAAGAGATGAAGGAGTTGGGGCAGTTATGTTGCTGTGTGCGCCACACGGGGCAGCCAGGGCCTGTCTGTGGGGCAGGCTCTTGTGAGAGTCACACGGTAGTAAGGCAACACCACGGTGTGCACATTCTTCCACACGAAGGGGAGGAGAAGTAACGGGAGACGCGGGTGCGTTGGAAGGGCCATGCCTGCACAAGGATGGACAGGTGGGTGTGCCCAGGTCCCCCAGGTGGGCACGCGCCCAGATGGACTCCAACTAAGAGCAGCTGAGGCCTGAGAGGAAGGACCCGAGTGCGTTGGAAGGGCTATGCCTGCACAAGGATGGACAGGTGGGTGTGCCCAGGTCCCCCAGGTGGGCACGCGCCCAGATGGACTCCAACTAAGAGCAGCTGAGGCCTGAGAGGAAGGACCCGAGTGCGTTGGAAGGGCTATGCCTGCACAAGGATGGACAGGTGGGTGTGCCCAGGTCCCCCAGGTGGGCACGCGCCCAGATGGACTCCAACTAAGAGCAGCTGAGGCCTGAGAGGAAGGACCCGAGTGCGTTGGAAGGGCTATGCCTGCACAAGGATGGACAGGTGGGTGTGCCCAGGTCCCCCAGGTGGGCACGCGCCCAGATGGACTCCAACTAAGAGCAGCTGAGGCCTGAGAGGAAGGACCCGAGTGCGTTGGAAGGGCTATGCCTGCACAAGGATGGACAGGTGGGTGTGCCCAGGTCCCCCAGGTGGGCACGCGCCCAGATGGACTCCAACTAAGAGCAGCTGAGGCCTGAGAGGAAGGACCCGAGTGCGTTGGAAGGGCTATGCCTGCACAAGGATGGACAGGTGGGTGTGCCCAGGTCCCCCAGGTGGGCACGCGCCCAGATGGACTCCAACTAAGAGCAGCTGAGGCCTGAGAGGAAGGACCCGAGTGCGTTGGAAGGGCTATGCCTGCACAAGGATGGACAGGTGGGTGTGCCCAGGTCCCCCAGGTGGGCACGCGCCCAGATGGACTCCAACTAAGAGCAGCTGAGGCCTGAGAGGAAGGACCCGAGTGCGTTGGAAGGGCTATGCCTGCACAAGGATGGACAGGTGGGTGTGCCCAGGTCCCCCAGGTGGGCACGCGCCCAGATGGACTCCAACTAAGAGCAGCTGAGGCCTGAGAGGAAGGACCCGAGTGCGTTGGAAGGGCTATGCCTGCACAAGGATGGACAGGTGGGTGTGCCCAGGTCCCCCAGGTGGGCACGCGCCCAGATGGACTCCAACTAAGAGCAGCTGAGGCCTGAGAGGAAGGACCCGAGTGCGTTGGAAGGGCTATGCCTGCACAAGGATGGACAGGTGGGTGTGCCCAGGTCCCCCAGGTGGGCACGCGCCCAGATGGACTCCAACTAAGAGCAGCTGAGGCCTGAGAGGAAGGACCCGAGTGCGTTGGAAGGGCTATGCCTGCACAAGGATGGACAGGTGGGTGTGCCCAGGTCCCCCAGGTGGGCACGCGCCCAGATGGACTCCAACTAAGAGCAGCTGAGGCCTGAGAGGAAGGACCCGAGTGCGTTGGAAGGGCTATGCCTGCACAAGGATGGACAGGTGGGTGTGCCCAGGTCCCCCAGGTGGGCACGCGCCCAGATGGACTCCAACTAAGAGCAGCTGAGGCCTGAGAGGAAGGACCCGAGTGCGTTGGAAGGGCTATGCCTGCACAAGGATGGACAGGTGGGTGTGCCCAGGTCCCCCAGGTGGGCACGCGCCCAGATGGACTCCAACTAAGAGCAGCTGAGGCCTGAGAGGAAGGACCCGAGTGCGTTGGAAGGGCTATGCCTGCACAAGGATGGACAGGTGGGTGTGCCCAGGTCCCCCAGGTGGGCACGCGCCCAGATGGACTCCAACTAAGAGCAGCTGAGGCCTGAGAGGAAGGACCCGAGTGCGTTGGAAGGGCTATGCCTGCACAAGGATGGACAGGTGGGTGTGCCCAGGTCCCCCAGGTGGGCACGCGCCCAGATGGACTCCAACTAAGAGCAGCTGAGGCCTGAGAGGAAGGACCCGAGTGCGTTGGAAGGGCTATGCCTGCACAAGGATGGACAGGTGGGTGTGCCCAGGTCCCCCAGGTGGGCACGCGCCCAGATGGACTCCAACTAAGAGCAGCTGAGGCCTGAGAGGAAGGACCCGAGTGCGTTGGAAGGGCTATGCCTGCACAAGGATGGACAGGTGGGTGTGCCCAGGTCCCCCAGGTGGGCACGCGCCCAGATGGACTCCAACTAAGAGCAGCTGAGGCCTGAGAGGAAGGACCCGAGTGCGTTGGAAGGGCTATGCCTGCACAAGGATGGACAGGTGGGTGTGCCCAGGTCCCCCAGGTGGGCACGCGCCCAGATGGACTCCAACTAAGAGCAGCTGAGGCCTGAGAGGAAGGACCCGAGTGCGTTGGAAGGGCTATGCCTGCACAAGGATGGACAGGTGGGTGTGCCCAGGTCCCCCAGGTGGGCACGCGCCCAGATGGACTCCAACTAAGAGCAGCTGAGGCCTGAGAGGAAGGACCCGAGTGCGTTGGAAGGGCTATGCCTGCACAAGGATGGACAGGTGGGTGTGCCCAGGTCCCCCAGGTGGGCACGCGCCCAGATGGACTCCAACTAAGAGCAGCTGAGGCCTGAGAGGAAGGACCCGAGTGCGTTGGAAGGGCTATGCCTGCACAAGGATGGACAGGTGGGTGTGCCCAGGTCCCCCAGGTGGGCACGCGCCCAGATGGACTCCAACTAAGAGCAGCTGAGGCCTGAGAGGAAGGACCCGAGTGCGTTGGAAGGGCTATGCCTGCACAAGGATGGACAGGTGGGTGTGCCCAGGTCCCCCAGGTGGGCACGCGCCCAGATGGACTCCAACTAAGAGCAGCTGAGGCCTGAGAGGAAGGACCCGAGTGCGTTGGAAGGGCTATGCCTGCACAAGGATGGACAGGTGGGTGTGCCCAGGTCCCCCAGGTGGGCACGCGCCCAGATGGACTCCAACTAAGAGCAGCTGAGGCCTGAGAGGAAGGACCCGAGTGCGTTGGAAGGGCTATGCCTGCACAAGGATGGACAGGTGGGTGTGCCCAGGTCCCCCAGGTGGGCACGCGCCCAGATGGACTCCAACTAAGAGCAGCTGAGGCCTGAGAGGAAGGACCCGAGTGCGTTGGAAGGGCTATGCCTGCACAAGGATGGACAGGTGGGTGTGCCCAGGTCCCCCAGGTGGGCACGCGCCCAGATGGACTCCAACTAAGAGCAGCTGAGGCCTGAGAGGAAGGACCCGAGTGCGTTGGAAGGGCTATGCCTGCACAAGGATGGACAGGTGGGTGTGCCCAGGTCCCCCAGGTGGGCACGCGCCCAGATGGACTCCAACTAAGAGCAGCTGAGGCCTGAGAGGAAGGACCCGAGTGCGTTGGAAGGGCTATGCCTGCACAAGGATGGACAGGTGGGTGTGCCCAGGTCCCCCAGGTGGGCACGCGCCCAGATGGACTCCAACTAAGAGCAGCTGAGGCCTGAGAGGAAGGACCCGAGTGCGTTGGAAGGGCTATGCCTGCACAAGGATGGACAGGTGGGTGTGCCCAGGTCCCCCAGGTGGGCACGCGCCCAGATGGACTCCAACTAAGAGCAGCTGAGGCCTGAGAGGAAGGACCCGAGTGCGTTGGAAGGGCTATGCCTGCACAAGGATGGACAGGTGGGTGTGCCCAGGTCCCCCAGGTGGGCACGCGCCCAGATGGACTCCAACTAAGAGCAGCTGAGGCCTGAGAGGAAGGACCCGAGTGCGTTGGAAGGGCTATGCCTGCACAAGGATGGACAGGTGGGTGTGCCCAGGTCCCCCAGGTGGGCACGCGCCCAGATGGACTCCAACTAAGAGCAGCTGAGGCCTGAGAGGAAGGACCCGAGTGCGTTGGAAGGGCTATGCCTGCACAAGGATGGACAGGTGGGTGTGCCCAGGTCCCCCAGGTGGGCACGCGCCCAGATGGACTCCAACTAAGAGCAGCTGAGGCCTGAGAGGAAGGACCCGAGTGCGTTGGAAGGGCTATGCCTGCACAAGGATGGACAGGTGGGTGTGCCCAGGTCCCCCAGGTGGGCACGCGCCCAGATGGACTCCAACTAAGAGCAGCTGAGGCCTGAGAGGAAGGACCCGAGTGCGTTGGAAGGGCTATGCCTGCACAAGGATGGACAGGTGGGTGTGCCCAGGTCCCCCAGGTGGGCACGCGCCCAGATGGACTCCAACTAAGAGCAGCTGAGGCCTGAGAGGAAGGACCCGAGTGCGTTGGAAGGGCTATGCCTGCACAAGGATGGACAGGTGGGTGTGCCCAGGTCCCCCAGGTGGGCACGCGCCCAGATGGACTCCAACTAAGAGCAGCTGAGGCCTGAGAGGAAGGACCCGAGTGCGTTGGAAGGGCTATGCCTGCACAAGGATGGACAGGTGGGTGTGCCCAGGTCCCCCAGGTGGGCACGCGCCCAGATGGACTCCAACTAAGAGCAGCTGAGGCCTGAGAGGAAGGACCCGAGTGCGTTGGAAGGGCTATGCCTGCACAAGGATGGACAGGTGGGTGTGCCCAGGTCCCCCAGGTGGGCACGCGCCCAGACTGGGACTCCAACTAAGAGCAGCTGAGGCCTGAGAGGAAGGACCTGAGTGCAAGGACTGACAATGCGGGTCCTGCTGACAAGCAAGGATGGGCACCCAGACAGGGAGCTTGGCCTCGGGGGCACATCAGAGGGCCCTCGTGCCCTCCTCTCAGCCAGGCGCTGGACCCTGTCCAGAAAGCAAAGCCCCAGTAGTCATCTGCCAAACAGAAAGGTCAAGGGTGACATCACCAAACAAAACTGAGCTTTGAGAGGACAGGGGACGTTTTCCCTATTCTTCCCTCACTGTCCCACAGACTTTCTCTCCAGAGAGAGTTTCTGAGAAACCACAGAGGAACTCTGAACTCTCATTGAATGTTAACACCCAATAACACAGGTATTCACTAAAACGGCTAAATTAGTAAATAGCACTATTAGAGTCCTAACTAAAGATCATTGTCATGGGTTCAGCCATGTCCCTGACAGTCACACTGAAGCTCTGACCTCAGGACCTATGACATGGCAGGGTCTGGGCAGACATAACGAGGTGAAGACGAGTCGTGCTGGAGGAGGCAGAGCCCTCACTCCAACGTGCCAGCGAGAGAGGCGAAGAAGGCCACATAAAGACAGAGGCAGAGCTCCCACTGATGCCTGCACACCACGGAGTCTCTGGGGCTTCTAGAAGCTGCAAGACACCAGAAGGCCCCCGCCTTAGCTATTTTAAGCTAATTAAAATGGCTTAGACTAAACAGCCTCCGACGTGAAAGCTAGAAAGAAACATCCATTGTTGAAAGCTACCCCACGTGTGGGAGTGGGGTATGGCCGTCCAACACACCCAGCGTTGGAGAACGGCCAGATTAACACAGCAAAGGGACGGACAAGCATCGCCCCTGCGAGCACATGTCCATCCTCCATGTGGCACGACCACCTGCAGTCCTGGCAGAGGACTTACTCACCCAGGTGCTCAGGGAACGCTGAGTGACAGAAGCACGAATCAAATGCATGTGTGGGCCCAGGATGCTAGGCTTTCAGTGGAGCGCGGAGGGCAGAGATGTCTGAAACTAGCTCCCAGAGTAAGAGCTCTGAAGTGCGAGATAACAGAGTTCTCTTAGAACTCACCAAACCTAATCTGGACCAAAAGACGAAATGTGAAAGCCGGCCGGCACACGGGAGCCTGAGTGCTCCTTATTCTGCATTTCTGTAACTTCCAGCTGAAAAAAAGGATCTTTTTTCCCTTAAGTGGGTCACAGAGGGATTTATTTGCCAAACCTGTCTCTACATAGGTGAAGAAATTATATTATCTTGCTGGAAAAATAAACACAGGCAATCTTCTTCTGAAGATTATAAACCTAAGCATTCTATTTCTTAACCAAAGCTGGACTTTCAACCAAATCCTTTTACTATAGTTTTACTGGCTTGTTTTTGAATAGGATTTTTAAAAATTGTTTATAAATGAGCTATACATGAAATTCTTCACCATTCCTGTGGCCAAGGACAGACCCCTGTAAGTTAACGCATAAGGACATCACAGGTGACAAGGCTCCGAGGGCCGAAGAGGTGCCCAGGTGTGGCCAATTTCCTGCAGCCCACAGTAAACTCAAGGGTCATCTCACCTTCAGCATCCAGCATTTTGGGAATGTCCAGGTGTTTCTCTGCGATTTCCATGGCCAGGTTAATATTTCCTATAGGGTCATCCTGCATGAAAGTCACCACAACAGGGTTTTAAAAAGTATCTTGAGACAGGACTTGGAGTAACACTGTACAAGGACGCCCTCCTGCCCACATGCGACCATGGCAGGAAGTGCCTCCCCTCCGCTCCCTCCAGTCCAGCAGCAAGTGCAGACGCACAGCCCGTGCACGAGCCCCATGAGCAGAAGGCGAGAGAGCAGGCACTGACAAGGAGAACCCCCTCGACTCATCAGGGCTCATTTCCAAGTCTACAAACACCGGGATTTAAATCATTCTGAAAGAAATCATCGAACAGATGCTCTCCAGACTGCAACAGCCTGGATTAAATGCAAGAAAGCCTGGGGCAGCGAGGGCAGACGGAGCAACTGTTAGCTCACTGAGGGGCCTCACAGGGTGGCTGTGAAGGGCTTCGTGTTTCTCAGGTGTGAAAACTAGGGTAGCTGCAGGATCTGAACACTGTAAGAGACTACAGGAAGAAAGTTTTGCTCTTAAGGTTATGCTTATCACATTTTTTAAGAGAGATTTTTGCTATAGGGCGTGTGCACTTGATGGAGAAACAAAGTGAGAAATCGCTCCCCAGGGGGATGGCCACACTGCAATCCCTCCTCCATTCTCCTCTTGGGATTTTGAGCATGCATACACACTCCCAGCGTGTTTCAAGCTGCTGGGTCCGGGACTCAAACTGCGGTCGGCTAGGTAGGAGTACGATAAAACCACTGCAGCATCTGCTGCTGGTCCTGCCGCTGCATTTTGTTCAAACGGTTATGGGGGCTGTCTTGAGGGAGAGAAAAAACACAAAAGGGCAAATAGGAAATTGTCCCCAGGTTACTGGAAGGGACCAGTGTAAGCGAGTGGGTCTGAAGCTTTCGATTCGTCAGTGTCGTGGTGACACCTCTGGTAAACCTCTGGTACCAGGTTAGCGTCAGTTCTGAGAGCTGTCAACTGCCCGATGAACGCCATCAGACCAGGTGGAGTTTGCAACAGCCATCTCACTCCCTGCAGCACTTACGTGTTTCTAAACAGCCTTATGAAAGTGTATTTATTTTGGAGATAGCAAGTGGTGCGATGGTTAAGGTATTAGACTCCCACATGGCCAACAGTGGTTCGAGTCCCAGACCTGGTGGCTTGCTTCTCATTTTCCCTCTCTACCGCTATCTCTTTCTGGTGAGTGCATGTGCCCTGTAACAAATTTTAAAATAATAATAATAACAAAGTTAAATCAATGAATTTTTTTTAAAAAATATTATCTTCCTCTGCAAAACTGGTTAAATACACATTAAGTTTAAGCAGAGGTATTTACTGAGATACTGAAAATCAAAAAGACTTAATGCTTCTGGTTTTAATCTATTAAAGGACTTAACTACAGGGTTTTGAAATAGGATAGGGGTAAAGCAGGAAAACCAAAATGAAAAGTAGTGCTACTCCAGGGATGAGTCCGATGAATTTCACAGCAAAACACCTTGACATTTCAGAAACTACGATGCGACACAATTAGCACCATCAGCTCCGTTCGCGAAGCTCTTGGTGAGTGCAAGCTTCGCACACAGGCTGCTCAGCAGAGAAGCCAAGAACACATTCCAGGCAAAAATACATTTCTGAATGTTGCCTTAACAAAGCATTTAATCATTTGAATCCAAGCAACAGGGTCGTTAAACAAATCTTACCTGACATTTATACAAATGTTTATGAAGTCAAATAGCTGAGCAAAAGCTGCTTCCCCTCAATTTTTGAGAAAGACTTCCACAACACAAAGTGATGATTTTTTTTCTTTTTGTATGGTTTTTTGCCATAGAGCATGTATGCTTGTGGGAGACAGTGAGAGGGAAAGTGAGAAATCACCCCCCAGGGCAGTTGGTCACACCAATTCCCTCTCCTCCAGTCTCCTCTTGGGATTTTGGGCCTATACATACACCCAGGGTGATTTTCAAGCCATCGGATCTGGGACTTGAACTGTAGTCACACATGTGGGAGTCCAGTGCCTTAATCACCACACCACCTGCTGGCCCCAGAGTGATGATTCTAAGACTGGTGAAAGCTAACTCACTGAGATTGCAGCAAGAGGAAATGCAACATGGCAATGAAGTATTCTGTAGCTCGGCTGTGGCCATGAGATCTTGGGCAGATGGCTGACTCTCCCACTTTTTCCATCCTTAAAACTGGGACATTAATAGTACATAATTTGCAAGGTTGCTGTGCACTGCAAGACTGAACACCTGACTCTATGTGCGTGTATGTTTCTACACACATATACATACACAAACATACTTGCAAGTATACACACACATATACTTTATTATAGTCTGATCTAGCACCATGAAAGGAAGTATTTATTACTATTTATCATCTTCCTACTCCCCTTCGCTGGCCCATTACTACGGGGTCTACTGACCTTCTGTAGTAACAATTGACTGTTACCAACTAATATAATTCCCATACTTTGCAAATGAGATAAAATGTAACTTAAAGAAAGTACACTGAAACATTTCAAAGGAACTCGGGGGCAGGGAGTTCCTGCACTGAGAGGCTGAGGGACTCTGGTCCTGCCCGCCAGGTTCCTGGGCTCCCTCACAGTATCTCAGTCTCTGTGACAGAGAGTCCTTTAGCACTGCCGCAGTCGGCCAGACAGGCTGGGTGGGGGGGCCGGCGGCTGCTGGGAAGGCAGCAGAAGCCAGGACATTCCTGAACCTGCCACACAGCGAGGGCACACAGCGGGGCTGGCTCCACAGCAACACGGCAGCACATGGCAAGTGGGAGCACGCACACGGCCCAGGGCAGGGAGGGCGTGCAGAACAGGGGCTGGCCCGCAGGTGGCCATGGTGGCAAGCACATGGCAGAGGGCGGTGAGTAAATGGCACGGGCGGCCAGCACACGGCCCGGGTGAGAAGTGTGTGCAGAACGTGGACGACCTCGGGAGTGCCCAGTGTGGACCGTGCTCCCCCCGGAATTTTCGGAATCCTAGCTCTAGGCCACATGGCCCACCCAGCACCAGATTTGGGAAGACACTGGTTCCTTTTTCCATCACAGAAAACATTTTAAAAACTACTTTTAAAGAAAGAATTCAGGGGCCAGCAGTTAGCGTAATGGCTATGTTGCTGGGCACCCATGTAGCCGACTGCGGTTCGAGTCCCAGACCTGGCAGCTTAAACTCACGCCGGGCGCATGTGCGTGCGTGCCCAAGATCCCGAGAGGAGAATGGAGAAGGGATTGCAGTGTGGCCATCCCCTCTGGGGGGTGATTTCTTGCTTTCTATCTCTCTGTCTCTCTCTGTCTGTCTGGCAAACGCACGCGCCCTATAGCAAAAACCTCTCAAAAAAAAAGAAAGAAAGAATTCAAACATTCACCTGAGACCTAAGAACACTGAACCTTACACGTAAGGGAAGAATTAAAATTTCTAAGTCGAGACCAGCGGTTGACATAACAGCTGTATCTCTAGACTCCCATGTAGTTGACCGCGGTTCACATCCCGGACCCGGTGGCTTAAACGCACACTGGGCGTGTGTGTGTGTGTGCCCAAGATCCTGAGAGGAGAATGGAGAAGGGATTGCGGCATGGTCATCCCCCTGTGCGGTGATTTCTCACTTTCTGTCTTTCTGTCTCTCTGTCTCTCTCTGTCCTTCAGGAAAGCGCACACACCCTACAGCAAAAACCTCTCCAAAAATATTTTTTTTAAGTGGAGGAATGAGCAGTTGGTGTTATTAGTTACATTACTGGACTCCCACGTAGCCAGCCATGGTCTGAGTCCTGAACCCAGAGGCTTCAAATTCACACAGGCGTGTGTGCATGTGTGCCCAAGATCCAGACGGGAGAACAGAGACGGGGCTGCAGCACAGCCAGCCCCTGGGGGTGATTGCTTGCTTTTTGTCTCTGTCTCTCCATCTCTCTGGTAAGCATATACAACCTATAGTAAAAATTTCCCTTAAAAAAATTTCTAGGTAGGGAACCAGCAGTTAGCGTAATGGCTATGTCGCTGGACTCCCACGTAGTCAACCGCGGTTCGCGTCCCAGACCTGGTGGCTTAAAACTCACGCTGGGCGTGTGTGTGTGTGTGTGTGTGTGTGTGTGTGTGTG